TTTGATTCTTAATATTCATTTGCCTGCGGGCGCTCATGCCTCCCTTTACATTTTTTTTCCATAATTTAACTCGAGTTCAATTATTTCAAAACCTTCTTTAAATTTTTGATGGCCAGTTAGTGCCTCAAAATATTAATTATTTCATCAGCTAATTATTAACAATAAAGCTATGAGTTTATTAATACTGATATTGTAGACTGCGGTCTTTAATATTAGTTTTTAATGTACATTATTATACATTTTTTAAATTTGATACTTGAAATTCCTTTTGCCCGTGGGCGCCCATGCACCCTTTCCCATTTTTATTTTTAAATTCATATTCTATTGTATTTTTAAATATTTTTTTTTATTTTGATTCTTACATTTGATTTGCCTGCGGGCGCCCATGCACTCCTTCCCATTTTTATTTTTAAATTTATACTTTATCATGTTTTTTAATAATTTTTTTTTATTTTGATTCTTAAAATTCGTTTTCCCTCGTGCGCCCATGCACCCCTTCCCATTTTTATTTTTAAATTTATATTCTATCATATATTTATATACTTTTTTTATTTTGATTCTTACAATTCATTTGGCTGCGGGCGCCCATGCCCCCCTTCACATTTTTATTTTTAAATTTAAATTCTATCCGATATTTTTATAATTTTTTTTATTTTTTAAAGACTTCTGCAGTTTGATGTGACACTCATCATCTTTTGAATTTCCACTGCTTGAAAAACTTTATGTTTAAATCCCAGATTAAAGTAATTAAAATAATGCTTCAAATAAGTTTTTTATGTTGCTTTAACATATTTTGAACTTATATATTATAGTTAAAATATTTAGTTTGTGCAGATGTTATAGATATTTAAATTTTTTCCACAAATTATTACTTAAAAATAAAAACAAAAAATAAAATAAATGTTTTCAATTCAAAATTACGTATTTCAGTACTTGTAGTTATAGTGTATAATGTATAATGTATAATATATAATATATTATGTATAATTACCTTTATATTGTAGACAATTTAGTATAAATAAATAATATTTTTCATAATTTTATATAATTATCCAGTGACTGCTTGACAATGATTAATGCAAATAGCGCATGTTCTATTTTAATAAAACAATATTAGTCATGACTGAAGACAAAAATGTTTTGTTTTGACTACGCTTTATCAGTGCGCGTGTTCTCCATAAAATATAAAGTTTTTATTTTTTGATTAGTCGAAATAAAGCGACTTTGGTCGCTTTATAGCAGTTTTGCTTTACCAATGTGAGGTCACCCTAAGTACCTATAAATTATAATCATATTATTAAGTCACGGACTATAAGTTTTTATAGATTTTAAAGTAAAATTTAATTTTAATTTTAAGATTATAGTCCGTGTATCGTGCACACATAAAAATTGAGTCGGTAACATATATTCACACACGTCATTCTTAAGGGCTCATTAAAATTAAAATTAAATTCGAGTATGTTTTGAATTATTAATATTAATTGAGTTAAGGGTGTCAGTACCGGTTTTTCAATTTACCATTTTAATTAAAATTTGCATGTTCAAATTTGGGATTTGATCCGACCTGCAACGACGTCCTTAACTATTGTAATGTAAACTGTAGGTTCATACCACTATTATAATTTGACCATGGTAAACGGACGGATGGTACTTTACAGGTAGTGTGGTAGACAGTGCTATATCCCAGTATCATACAGCTAAAAGTGAACTAGATATTATAAGATTTTCAAAACATTTTAAATTTAAGCTCATGAAAATGTGTTAAATGGGCATAATATTTAACAACCTAGTAGTTTTCATAATTTTTTTTTTTGGTTTTAGATGCTTAATCGATTGTTGAATCAAAACTTACCTATCGTACTTATACTTTAGACATTTTGCACTGTAGGCTTAAGTCTGTATAAGTGGTAAGGACAATTTGCTCTAACAATTATTTGGGGATTATTTTTTTTTTGTGGTAGATATGGCGTATGTATACTTACCCACATTTTGTGTGCTCAAACGAGTCGTGAATCAATCAAATGTGCGCAAATGGTGTTACGCACAAGTGGAGTTTTGAATTTTGTGTTGTATAGGAGGCACCTATACTCTGCTCCACGCATATTTTGTGCAGTAAGTATAATATATTGTTCATTTATTCGGCAGCTATAGTCGATTTAACGGCTACTCAGAGTTTTATTGTAAGTAATAGATTTTCAGATTTTCCATTGATTCTAGATCAAGTCTAGCATAGGTTCAAAGAACTTCTCTTCAAAAAATACCCATAATCCACATCACTGTTTAAGGAGTAACTTGGTAATGTTTTCTTCTAAGTGTAAAAACAAAAAGTGCAACAAAATAAATAATGTATTAACAAGTAAGTAGCAAATAATAGTTTTAAAAATATATTTTATAACAAAATATTTCAGGTCAATCTCTTTTATTGTGGTTTATTTTATTATAAAAACAAATATTATCACAATTTTCAAGAACCTATAATATATATAATATATTTTTGATACCTATAATTTTTAATTTTGTATACATATTATGACATTTTTAAAGAGCTAAAGTAGGGTATCTACTGACGCGTGGCCGCGTGGGTGAAAACGGGGAAAGCACAAAGCAATACAATAATTTGTCTCAGAATTTATAAAAATAGTTTAGTTTCTCTAACATAATTCCGCAGTTTGAATTATAATACAAATTATGGTTTATTATATATTTTTGATTCTATAATTCTCCTTTTATTAAGTTATAAACTTATAAAATGTGTATATATTTCGAATTTTCTAAATGTTTTATTTTGATGTAAATTTATTTATAGTAATAAGACTACTCGTATCTCCGTTCATAATTTTAAGGAAATTGAAGACTGCACAAATATGCAAAAAGAACAATTTTAATCCAATGCTTTAATTTATTTAGTATATTTAGACAGAAAGCTTGTGATCTATATTTAAACATACTATCGTCAAAAAAGAATTATGAAAATCGATAAATACATTTTTTTTTTTTGAACAAATATAATGAAATTACTTACGACTAATTATGTTGGTACATTAAGTTTTAATAATATAAAAACATTTAAATCTTTAATTCAATCATTTAAAGCAATTCAGTTAATATTGTAAATTATTGATATATAAAAGTGAACATCTTTACAAAATACTGCAATGTCTATAACAATATAATATTAGTAACAGTTACAATTTTATAGGGCTATTGAATATTTTTTCGAATAATAAACTATTGGGAAAAAAAGAAAACTATTCAATGTGTTTGTTTGGAATGCAATATTTTTTTTCAATTCAAAAATGTTTACAATAATATTTCTGGTTACTGGTTTTTGGTTAATAATAATATTATTCAGTTTATAGTGACTTAAAATTAAAGGAAAAACGTTAATTTATAAACAATATTTTTTAGGAATAAAATTAATTTTGATATAATAACAACAGTCATTATGAATATAATATTTTTATGTTTCGTATGTATAATTTAATATTATCTCTTGAAAAAATATATGTGTAGTGATTTTATCATCTAATGTAAAAGATAATGCATTTTATGTTTGTTTACTATAAATTTAAAAACATGACTAAAGTGAGATTAAATTAATTAAAAAATCGAATTAATTTTTTTTAAATGTTAGGACATAGAAAAAATCTAAAGCTGTTTAGTTTGTTATATGTGCAGGTATAATATTGACAAAGAGGCTATAGTTACCTGGGAAACGATATGCATTTGATCGATGGTTTAAAGTATTCTCGGTGTTTATACTACGTATTGTGTAATTATTTGGTAAAATAAATAAAATTATAAAACAAAGATATTTAATAAAATAAAATAAAAATGGGAAATTCTTGTGCGAGTTGCACAGATTTCTCATTCTCGAAAACAGCTTCAGGATCTGTTCTGGATAGAGTAATATCTCAAGCGTCTAACGAAGACGATTGTTTGTTGTATAAGTAAGCAATTCAAATTATTTACATTTGAATTTGATATTGTTAAAATATTAAAAGTAAATATTATTACATTTTAAGGTTAGCGGATTATAAAAAAGGAGGAGAATTGATCAACGTGTATAATAATGGTGGCCAAGACGAAGCGGAACGATTTATTGTTGAAAAATTACCCGGCCTTATGTATAACAATGGTAAAGGTCATATGATAAATCGAAATGATTATTTGAGATGGAAATTTCAAAATCGTAAACACGTAAGAATAATGTCTACTAGCCGTTAAAGTACGTATGTAATTGACCAACCATCATAATAATTACACCGATACAATTAATTACGTGCTGACGGGTTCAGCATTTATGCAGAAAAATGCAAATAATATGGTGTAGGTAGGTAGTAGGGTGTGCCGTAGACAGGATTTTTTATGGGGGGGGGAGGGTTCATAATAATATTGAAATAATATTTAAAACATTATATGTTAACACGATATATTTACTACTATACTAGACTACTGAAATTGGCTATAGTATAATTTAATTATAACAGAAGATCTATTTTTCTCGGCTTTTTGGCCATTTCATCTGATATATTTTCTTCTAGTGTGATTTCAATATTCCTGTAATAACTCAGGAGCACCAATCCATTAAGATGATCCTGTTCAACAAAGAGTCTAATAAATAATTATAATATAAATCAACATATTTAATTAATTATAATCTACCTCTTTCATACTATTCCTGAGATGGGATTTTACTCTTTTTAAACTAGAAAAGGATCTCTCTGGCGTTGCAGTCGAGACGGGAAGTGTACATAGAACTTTCAATAAAACAAATATATTAGGAAATATAACTGGATCGCAATGCTTGATAGCATGTAATGCATTTGATGGCAACATTTCATCATCCTTGGTTACCATGCGCTTCATTTTTTCTTTCCAAATTTGTAGCTCACAGGTAGCTGTGGTAATATCAATATGAGGGAGATAAAAATTAATTAAAGACTCAAAATCTGCATTATTTTACGAATTTGTATCATCAAACAAACATTGAAAATCTGAAATATTGTTTTAATTGCTTAAGTATATAAATTATAAATATATTTATAGTAGATACCTAATATAATTTAAGATTGTTATACCTTTAAAAATATTCTGATGAGTTATAAAAATCTTTCTTTTATTTGTGATATAAAAGATTCAATAAAAGGGATGCATATAGAAATTCGATAATAATCTTCAGGTATTAAGTCATTATTTAATGATAAATAGTTAGATCTATTTTTTTGTCGGCGAGTTATTAGTTAACAGATATTTCCATGCCTAATAAGTAATATTTCAGCCATTCTCTAGTAGCATGTACAATTATAAAAATTGTTTTTATGGATATTATGTAAAATATTATCATTTAAATCAAATAATAAATATTTACTAATACCTCAGTACTTCAAAATAAAGTACCTAGTTAGACATTGGTAGGTACCTATATTTTCCACAATATACAATGTGAATGGGAGGGGTTTGAACCTCCCCCCGTGTTTACGGCCCTGGTAGTAGGTACTAGGTACCTACCTGAATATTTTTTTGTTGAGATCCAGTACGACCAGAGTACATGTTAATTAAAATGAACGTTACTGTTTATATTCTGATCTATTTTAAAACTATTATGTATTTAATTTATTTTACAACATATTTTGATCGATTAGAATTTTATAAGTAGGGTCAATAGGATACATACTAGTTGCGGACGAATTATTTAGGTCAATACTATAACATAACAATCGCGTACAGAGTTTTTTTTAATAAAAACCACAAGAGTTTTGGACACAAATATATTACGTAACAAGAAATTGTAGCCATTTTGAACATTCTCAACAGTGGTGCCGAAGTTTTGAAAATGTGATGGGGAAATTTCGAAACTTCGCGGCTTCAATATATTAATTATTTAATATAGAAGTACCTTCAGTACCTGCCCTAATATATATTTACTCATAATCACGGTGACGTGGATTTAATATACTCATGCTCATGATAAAGTTATGATGTAAATAAAATGTGGCCGCACGGCCACATTTTTAAAAAAAAGAGGTCGGGCCATGGCCCGACGTTCGCATGGACTTCGGCGTCACTGATTCACAATTATATTTTGTTATAGCTATTTTATGATATAGTAGGTGTTACGTGGCCCGTTTGACGTCGGCTATTTTGGAGTCACGGTTGTAGCGTGTTACCAATCGGCTATCTTAATATTTAATACTTATATACACTGTGCAACTGTGAAAGCATTCGTTATTTCCATATTTAGGTGGCCGTTAATGTTGAGGAAAGGCCGGGCCCTCACGATCCGTTGACAAGATGGGTGGACCACGTGGCGTGCTGGCAAATGCAATACAGAGGATCATTAGGCGAAAGTCTGTTGCACGTATTAATCATATGCGATACTGTGATACACACTCGGCTCTCCCGACTACTTCTCAAACACTACCCGATGTTAAGTCAAGATGTTGTGGAAGGTGAAGAATATCTCGGTACGTCGTAGTGTAGTAAACACTGTTTAAACATGACTTATAAATGATTTCATCCTGTGAGTATTCGTCCGTCTATTTTTCACGACAGTGTTGGCATATTCTATTGAAGACATCAAATTAACTTGTAAAGTTCATACTGTGCAGTTATAGGTCGCATGATGGTTTCATACATCTTGATATTATTATTTTATTTATAGTCTTAATTTTTGTACTTAACTATTCATAGGCGCCAGTGCATTACATTTGTCTATTGCTTACAACAACAACGATTTAATCCAAGACTTGGTTGATGCTGGAGCAAATATTTGTCAAAGAGCCATAGGTATATACTTCATATAATCATATTATATCAACCTACTAATAAATCTGACGCCTAAATATTAAAATATATTGGAAATAATATATTACACGATTTAGGGAGCTTTTTCTTACCACGCGATCAACAGAATAAAGAAATCAATAACAAACACACGGATTACGAGGGTCTAGCGTATCTCGGAGAGCTACCGTTAGCGTGGGCTGCTTGTTGCGGAAACCAAACGGTATATAACCTGTTGATTGATGCTGGAGCAAACCCTGACGCCCAGGACTCGTTTGGAAATATGATTCTCCATATGGTGGTCGTTTGTGACAAACTGGTAAGTAATTAAATATTGTTCGGCAGCAAATCGAACCATGTCCAAATACGTGCAATATATAATGTAATTAATAATTATATAATATTCTAAATTCAGTTGTTGTGAATTAGGTGTGTTTTATTTTATTTTTGAACACGACTAATACTATTTACAATAAAACAGATTGACACCATCTACCCATGCATAACTTTGTAATGTTTTTACACCTAATATTATAAATTAATACTTGGAACATATATTATAGCTGTACCATACTACCCGAATCCTCCCGGAAATAAATGAAACATAACAAATATATATAATTATTGACTATAATTAAGACGGCCGAGTGAGTGGTTCAGACAATTTATTTTTAAAGTAACTGTAAAAACCACACGCAGATTGTGCTATGGGTGTATTTCTTATTTTATTGAGCAATTTTCTGGAGACAGAAGTTGGGTCGGTCGTAAGCGGTAGCCTACGTTGATTAGGCAATCGAGATCAATTTATTTAATTATGTTAAAATATAATATAATATTTTACTATAATATTATTTATTTTATTATATTTTTATTTTTATTTTTATTTTATTTATTTATTATTACCTGGATGTTCATCGAAAAAATTATCTTACTGCACTTTTAACATTTAATAGTTATATACAAATATACAATTATATACAAATCATTTTAAAGCCTATCCTTACAAATAAAGACTGTGCACAGTGCCACTGTATCTGCTGAGATTCGTTTTTCCTATGCATGCACATCACAGTACAATGATGCTTAGTTATTGAATTAAAATTTAACCCATTTAACTACTCTACAGCTGTGACTTGCATATTAATTTGCAATTTAAAAGTCGGAATCTTATACATAGCAGAGTGACGAATAGCAGTTTTTTTTTTTGAATAATTAAATAAACAGTAAGACTAGTTCAGTACAGAATAAGTATAATTACAGTAATTACAGTAATTATTTTTTATTCTTATTTATGCAATTATGGATGTACAATGTACTTTTTTTTATACTATAGGTAGGTATCCGAGTTTTTTTTTTATCAAATTACAATTATAATTTATATTACAGTAGAGATCCACTTTGTTTCATTTTTATATTTTATTCATACTAATAGGGAGGCTTAAAAGAAAGAAAAGGAAATAGTAGTGATCTAAAAAATGTCATGACCTAGAATTGCCCTTAAGACCATTTGAAGGCAATTAATAACTTATACTCTACCTAATTAATGCTGATGTGTTTAATTTTAAACATAAATTAATGTATATTTTAAATTATAAAATACAACTTAATTAGTGTGTTATACTGTTGTTCTATTTTTATGAAATAGTTAATACGTTTTAACTATAGCTAATAATAAAAATGTATACAAAGTATTGTCAAATGATTAGGTAATTAAAATTATTTGATTTTGAAATGATTTGTATCTAATTTTGTAAAAATGTACACATATCATAGACTAAAAAAAGTGATTTTCACTGTGTTAACATATAATTTATTATAGTTTAAAAAGACTTCAGAATATCAAAAAGCTTACTATACTCCCCCCTCCCCCTTCACAAAAAAAAAACTAAAAAAAGACTTAATATTTAAATGTGTACCTATAAGTATCTATAAAGGGAATATATACATTTGCAATTTATTTATTTGCCCAGAGTATGTTTGGTTATGCTTTGAAGCACCCTAAAGTGCCGGCAAGTAATGGTATAATGAACGTGGCAGGACTAACACCTTTAACTCTATCGTGTAAACTTGCAAGAACTAGTGTTTTCCGTGAAATGTTGGAACTAAGTGCAAGGGAATTTTGGAGATATAGTAATATTACATGTTCGGCGTATCCTTTAAGTGCTTTAGACACATTACTTCCAGACGGAAGAACAAGTTCGTTAATCTATACAGAATTTAGTTAGGTAATTGAATAAAATATTATTTTGAAATATCATTACGACATCGTAGATTGGAATTCAGTATTGTTTATAATTTTGGATGGTACAAAAGAAGAACATTTAGACATGCTCGATGGAGGCATAATTCAAAAATTATTAGAAGAAAAGTGGAAAACTTTTGCTCGGGTATATATCTCCATTATTAGTATTACTAATTGTATTTAAATGCGCAATTGGTTAAATTATACGATTTTTATTTTGTTTTTTTGTTCGGCCAAAGAAACAATTTATGAAACGTTTAGTTATATTATCCATCCATTTAATCATGTTGAGTATTTCTATATACCTAAGACCCGTGGACCAGGACAAACCATTGTTAGGAGAAGCAGAAGACTGGCAAGACGTGGCAAGGTATTGTTTTGAAGGCGGAACAGTAGTCGGAGTGCTGTCATATTTAATCGTTCAGCAAGGTGGAGAAATACTCAATCAAGGTCTGGTAGGATTTTTAAAACAAACGGTAAATGGCTAAGCAAAACGTTTTGAATTAATTGCTAAATATTAACAGCACTTTCGATTATAGTTCAAAGAACCGGCCAAACTGATATTTCTGATTTCAAATTTATTAATATTGGGTTGTATACCACCCAGGATGATGGGTGACAAACAGACTGAGGAAGCCATATTAGTATTCGCCGTTCCCGGATCGTGGTTTTTGTTAATGTTTTTTGCTGGGTATTTTATATAATAATGATTAGAGTATGGATTATGAAGGCATTTGCCTTTTTTTTCTATTGCTCTAAAACGAAGCTATGTCAGCTACAAATTCGATTTATACTGCTATACTACTATGCACGACATTTTATTTTGCTTTTTTTTTGTGCTTTTTTTGCGTTTTTTGAATATTTATGCTTTTTTGGGCATTTTTGGTACATTTTTCAAAATGTGTTCTAAATAAACGTATTTGAAATGTTAATTTTTATTTTATTGTAAAATAATGTGTTTTCCAATATCGTATATTGTATATGGCTGGCTCAATCGATTTTATCTCGTTATGTTATGTCTCGGTATGTTTATCGATGTAATTTAGATACGTATATAGCTTATTGAATATAGTAGATTATTTTATCTTGAAACGACAATAAACACAAAAATTAGTCGAAAACCCAGAAATTGAAGAAAATTTAATCTAAATAAAAAGTAATTTTGGATTTTTGGCTACTGAAATTACACGTTTAGAAACATCTGGGATGCTATTATCAGAATCCGTGTGTTGTATAGAAAAGGTTAAACAACAAATTAAACAAGCTTTGGGAAAAACGGGAGAAACGGTTACAAAAAAACTTGATGATGTACTAAACAAAAATTCGGGATTTAAAATTCTTACCATAATATCAAATATTCTAAAAGGCGAAAAAGTATCAAGAGAGGAACTTCCTGAAGACTTAACATGTGATGATTTAATACATTACAAATTTGCTCCTATTACATCTGTTGACGTCGAACGTAGTTTTTCAAAATACAAGCATATATTGTCCGATCGTCGTAGAAAATTTTTATTTGAAAACTTGAAAAAAGTTTTGATTGTCCAATGCAACTCCCATGATATAGGTAAAAAAAATCATTTCATAACTATTATTTAATTTATTTTTTATAAATTATCTTAAATAGAATAAATTCAATTTACAGATTAATAATTGTGGAAGAATGAAAACTCGGAGAAGCAGGGTTGTTAATAAGTTTATTATAATACCTTTTTTTTTAAAATAATTTTAATACTTTTTTTGTGATAAATTTTTTTTAAAAACCTATTTTTAATGCTTTTTTTAAAGCTTTTTTGGAAGATTTAGACAGCTTTATTGCTTTTTTTTTAGTGCTTTATTTTAGTTTTTTATTGCTTTAAAATCCGTACTCTAATAATGATAATGATAAATAATTTAGCGTTATACATGATATAAGACAAAAACAATGTTTGTTAATGAGTAATACATTGAATAAATTGCTTTAGCGCTATACGCCTGACTGGTCCTTTCGTAACTATGGTGTACTTGATGATCACAGGAGACATGTTAACCTTTTTCGTCATCTACTCAGTAATTTTGTCTGGTTTTACGCAATCGTTTTTTTTTCTCTACAAAGGATCGCCAGACGTCAGTACGTCGTTATATAAATCTTACCCTTCTACATGGATGGCCTTATTTCAAATTACTATGGGTGACTACAATGTGAGTTACGGCTGATTTCCTTTGACATAACACCTAATGATAATTTATACTACAGTACGTTACGTTTTATGTATATAGTACGCGGATTTGAGTTACACCGTATACCCCGCTCTCAGCAAAACTGTGTTTACGGTTTTCATGGTGTTGGTGCCCATTTTATTACTTAACATGTTAATAGCTATGATGGGAAACACTTATGCGCACGTCATCGAACAGAGCGAAAAAGAATGGATGAAACAGGTGAAACACAATAATATTGGGTCGTATACTTATTATGTTGTTCTGTATTAATATTAAACTTATACAGTTATACGTATAGTCTATTGTAGTATAGTACATACCAATACAAAAACAATAACTAATTTGATTTCCTTATTTCAGTGGGCTAAGATTGTAGTTACTCTCGAGAGAGCTGTACCACAAAAAGCAGCCAGGAATTACCTCGAAGAATATAGCATTCAGCTGGCACCCGGTGACGACGTAAATCCAGAACAAAGAGGATTCATGGTAATTAAATGTAAAAGTCAAACACGAGCGAAACAGCGAAAAGGCGCAGTCATAAATTGGAAGGTACCTTGTCATATTTTTCTTAAATGCAAAATATCTGACATTTTTTTAATAATTTTTTTACTTAATGTTAAATATTGATGTATGACACAGGCATCAAAGATGTTAAAAAGAAATATAATTTGCTACAGTATTAATATTTTATGTATAGGAAATAATCTAAATAATATAACATAACCTTAAAAATGTATATTTTTGTTCATTAAATCAAATTCATAAAACGTGTATAATTTTAATTGTTTTGAGAAAATAATTTTTCATTACGATATAGATTACGTGAATACCAATGCTTACTACATATATGTATAGGAACTTACAATATAATAATGTTATAACACAAAAACTCTGACGCTCTTTCGTAACCTACAGATACTATTTTTTTTATATTAATATTATGCGTTTGTCTTTTTTTTAAAATATAGTTCTATATGTAAATCAGGGATTTTAGCTCTTTTGTATGATACCGTTTATTTTTTCCTTAACTCGTTTTGTTAGTGTTTTTCACTGGTAAAATACAAATGTTGAACAAATTAAGATATTTTGTTTTTTAATTTTTACTAATAAAAATTGAAATGTATTTTATACTTAAGAAAAGTGGAAAGTTGGTCATTCAAGAGCTTCGTAGATTAGAAGGCACTGGCCAAAATTTAAGAGATATGATTTGGAAACGATCGTCTCTATCAGCGTCTTCTCCGGTCGCTAAAAGTGTATCAATGTAATTATTTCAGTTATACTTATGTATTTAAAAATTTAATTAAAATCAAATAATTTCTCTTCAATTTTGTAATTAGAACAAAAAATAAAAGCAAGTCTTATTCTGAAGCAAAAGATGACCAAATTCGGCTCTCTGGTGCACTAGGAGCAGCACTAGACGCGATTGCTGTAGCTCATGATTTAGACATGACCCTGACAAAAGATCAATCGATTGATGGTACCTGCCTACTTTAATTGATACATAAATGTTGGGATATTTAATAGTTAAAAAATATTGATTGTTGTAAGTAATTTTTTTTCAGAATTACATGATCCTTTAAGACAGTTAGTAATAATGTCGGAAAGTGATAAAAATATTGATAAAAGCCAAGTCGAAATAGTGGCGAATGCAGCAGCAAAAATTGCAGTAAGTTTTAGTTAAATGTTAACAGTTCATTTAAAAAAGATACATTTATAAAATCATCTTTAAATTTAAATGTATTTATTTGAAAAATATTTATTCAGAACCAAGATTCTATAAAACCGATATCGGTTAATTTAGAGCAACAAAATGATTGTAAGTAAATTGATTGTTATATTTCCTTAAGTATGTTTTTAATAATTTATTTTTAAATGCTAGTAAAAAATGATAGAACTAAAATTCCAACTGCCGGTAACACAATTACAAATAGAAAACTGTTAAACAAGCAATCTAAAAATTTAAGCATGTATGGTTTTGAGAGTCAGGACATTTCAGTAGATAAATACAGCAAAGAAATTGTAATCACAAGAAGTATTTCAACTCAAACTGGAGGTATTGGTATCATCGAAAAAAACGAACGACCGATAATAAGACCAAAAACTGCAAAAATCAATCGGTAAGTATTTAATAATTTGATACACAAAGATCATTTTCGAAACATAAGTAATATTTTGTTCATAGTCGTTTAAAAAATGCATGTATACCTGATAAATAAATTTTATTTGGGTTGAAATATATAGGAGGTTTTATTTTATAGGGAATTTTAACAATTCACGTAATAATTATGTATAATTTATGAAAAAATAAATTTTTATTTCAATATTAATATTTATTATTAGTTATTACTATTTTCGTTTTCAAATCAAAAGTACCTATACTTATTATCACGTACACCACATTCAAAATCCTATCCTGAAATTGATATAAACTAAAAATATTAGTCTTAAATTTGTCTATAACTTTCCTGGAGGTGATTTTCCTACTCTTTGGTCCATTCAAAATAAAAATAAAAACAAAATGGTTCAAAAAATAATGTTAGTAGTAAAAATCATAATTTTTTTTCGGTATTAGGTTTTATAATTAATTACAAAGAACAAAATAAGTAACATTAAATTACAAAAAAAGTGATGAAAGTTATGGAAGAGATTTTGACTAAATCTGCGATAAGTATAATAATAAAGTATTTTTTAAAGTACATTATATAACTTGGTAATTAATTGACCAACTCATTGAATTAAATATACCTTTTTAAACCCACATATATATACATTTATTTATTTAGTTAATGGTATAATCACTGATGATAAATGTATCAATTATTTAAATGAATTCAAATCTCTCGACGATTACTTTAGAACGGTTAACTACCACAGCCATACCTATAATAATTAAAATTCCATTAACATACTATGTATATACCTCAATAAGAATTAGAATAATAGAAGTCATATTAATGTAAGTTTAAAGCTAAAAGCCCATGTCGCCGAAGCTTCATAAAGATCTATAAAATAAAAAAATAAAATAAAAGTCACCATTTTTTTTTTGATAAACATTAGACATGTGACATGTCCTACCGAGATGATAAAATATTCTGTAAATTCGGTTTATTGCTCTATATAGTCTTGCTTCGAAAAAATATATTTGTTTTGCGTCAAACAGTTATAAACTTATAATATTACAATGTACTTAATAGTTAATATTAACGGTGTACGGATTATTTTGTTTTTATTTCACAATGGTTTCCAGCGTGACGCCCACACAGAATTTCGCGGTGAAAAGAGGCCAATCAGCACAGCCGGACAAACGGGAAGACCACAGGGATAACAAGGAGCAACAGTGTTATTGCATCAGTGGCAACAACATGTTGAGGCCGTGGAGCACTCAAGACCTGGCACCGTTAAACACGATCATGGCTTGGGGTCCCAACGACGATTTCTGACCGAACGACAAGAGATAATTAAACCTAAATAATAAAAAATATAAATTATGGCACGGTGGTGAAACGGCCATTGTTATAATATTTAATACTGCAACTACGTACCCGTCACCCGGTATGCGTTTATGACGTTTATGTCGCTTTATCGTGACACCCATCGCTTTCTCGGAGGATGCTTTCTACTCGCTGTTTTCTCTGTCTTATACATAGGCGTAACGTAGAAAATCTATGTAACTCCTTACGGGATTCTTATTACGGTTTATTCATAGTCAATATAATCAGAGCAAATTTACATATTATTATTATTAACATCTAGTTTTTGGAGGAGTATATAAACCATGTAATACTGCAAAGATTTTTTTCATATATTTATTTTTCAACGAGTTTTATGAATTTTAAATTTAAAATTATTTAAAAATTATTTAAACTCATTATAAAAATAATGTGTAAAAAAACTCTCCGTATAAACACTGTTTATACTGTCTTCTCTGCAAATTCAATAACATATATCATGTAAAGTGGCTCTAATATGAACTAAGAAAAAACTGCATTGAAAATCTGGAAGCTCATATAGATTTTTTGTGTTACGACTCTACTAGTGGTATTATTTTATTTTTAATATTAAAGTAAATTGACATATTGTACTAAATTTAAAGTTAAGTTTATATTATTTCAGGTATTATAAAATTTAAAGGTAAGAATTTATTATCTTGGGCCCCAACTTGGTTTTTTGTATTTTAATTTTGAAACGAGTTATGAGCATTTTAAAATTAACACACAATGTATAATTTTAAAAAGTTCGTGACTTGTTCCAAAATTAAAGTATAAAATAACCTACGAGGTACCCTATATAATGTATATTCTTACCTTTAAATTTGATAATACCTACGTCAATTCACTCTAATATTAAAAATAACAGAGAAAAATGGATTCTTCTGAACGTAAAATTGCCTTTATGTTATGTGTTAGAGTAAGGTGGAGTCAACACACGTGGGTACGACGTCCTCTTTAACACACCATTCCCGGCTCCGGGTTCTATATGATTAAATGACAGCTCGCTGTGGTAGTTAATATTCATAACATGCACCATGCAGGATATTATTAAAAAAAATTAAATTATATATAATATTGTAACCATGATACCTACACCTTATATTTTTATTGTATACATTATTAATTATTATCATAAAATATATAGTATTTTACTAATATATTTTATGATTATTAAATGATAATATTATTAAGAGTAGCCGAAAGTTTTGATTAAATCATAATATATATCATATATTCATATTATTAACCATTTTTTATGAGCTTGAAGCTCGATCAATACTATTTTAGAGTATATTGTGCTGTTATATATGTATTCCAAGGATGCAATACAAGGTACATTGCAATTAAAATACGAACAATATTTATTGCGATTTCTAAAGTCGAATTCAAATAGATAATATCGACTTGGTTTAAGAGTGTTTACGAGTCGACGACGCTTAATATTTATTACTATACGTGATATTTTTAAAGTTTGCGGTTTTTCATCATACATAAAATTATTATTGCACACGTAGTTGGTAACTAGTATTTAGTGAAAACGGGGCGGATTAGAAACAGCTATTATGCGAATCGCGTGTAATGTTTAGTACAACTTTTAAATATTAATTGCTTCGAGCGGTAGTCATTAAGCGGTAAAACAAATAAATTATAATTTTAATTTCCGTAGCATTGAAATTGTCTTTTGGTTAAGGGATTGAGTAATAGTGGTGTATACACGCGCAGCAGACGAATTTAGCACTGCAGAAAATAATACTTTAAGCAACTCAAACCGTTTTCCTTAATATATATTATACAGAGAAGTGGATTTTTCGGAGTACCTTTCGTTAAAATATGTTAACAAAAGTATTACACACATTTTTCATTCAATATTAATAACGCTGTTTTTCAATGTCTTATTTTTGGTAGGTAATTTATAGATTTATATATTGTACGTATTTAGTTTTTAATATCATAGGGTCATATAGTAGGTACCTATAACAGAACCGTGGCTGTTGCGATTAAGGATGTCTTAATAATATTAAGGGATACGCTGATCCTTTGCGAGTAGAACATTTTAAACGATTACGACGCGCGGTTCTTTTCTGTAGCAATAATTTAATTTATAGGCGTGTCTGCCAAAACCATTAATTAACTATTAATTATGTCACTCATTCAAATCATTCACGATTTATTGAAATACGTTCATTTTAAATAAACTTTTATGTTCATTAAATTAATTTTTCAACCCAATTGTTTTTAATACTTATCTCTGTTCTAATTTACTTAGCTTTATAAAAATATATTTATAACCGTTTTAAATTACTATTATTTTGTACTGTAATCAACTGGTAGGTACATTCTGTTTATTTTATAAACGAAAAAGTCTCAAATATTACAAATTTTACAATAATAATGGCTATAACTATTTACATATAAAGAATAAAGAATAATATAGAATTAGAATAGTATAGGTATACAGCTATAATATTTACTTAATCACTCGTATTATACTTTATTAGAACTTTACACTACTTATATTGAGTAAACAATTTATTTTTCTTAAAATCGGACTTTTATCTTGTAAAATTATACAACAAATAAATAACTATAAACATACAGATTGTAAATTATTGTAATAATTATTGTGCCTGTGGGTTATTAATATGTTTTTGGATAATAATTAAGGATAAATAGAGTTATAGTGACTTTGGCATAAACTATATTATTTAGGTCTTATCTTTTGATAAAAGGGAAATTATCGAGGTAATCAAAATCTGAAACAAATTGGAATAAAATATTGGAAATATATGGAAATGAACATTGTTAGTGTTGTTTAAAATTGCTCATGCATAATACAATTTTTTCTCGAATTGCGAATGGCTGGAATGCGATTCAATTGGTAGAATATCTGGAGACAATACATTATTTCATACTTGATACTATATATAAAATAAATACTTTACAGATATATTTATTTATTGACTGATTACTTTGATGTCAACGATGCGCTTGTTATGCATGAAATAAATATACCTACGCTGGTATACAGTCGTGTCTCCTCTTAAAAAGTCATTAAATTAAAACAAACATTCTTTAGATTATTATTATTTAACTATCATAATATTTGTAATACTATAATCGATACGGATTCGGTGTTTTTTGAAATATATAAAAATGAAGAGAAACACATTTTATTGCAAACGAATGTACCTACAGTAAATGTCGACGTTTTCAGCAGTTTTATTGCAGCACGATCTTCAAACTGTGTTTTAAAAATTACTGAAGAGTTAAAAAAAACAAACTTCTTAAAAATTCCATCGTGTTTGATTTTAAATTTATTTATTGGATAGAACAAATATTTTGTAGCATTCCTCGAAGGCTTGAACAGAAAAAAAATGGCATTTACGAGTATGTATAAGAGGAAAAAAGTAACAAGACACTCTGTCCATGACAGCTTCTCCTGTGCGTATCAGAATATATAAAGGACAATAAATCGAATTTACTCTTGAGATGTGATATTATATTATATTATACTCATATGTTGTGTAAATAGATAAATATGTCTGTGCATTTGTTGATTAAAAAAATTCAAAATAAGCAATTATAACAATCATCATGAAAGAGGTTACCATATTATTATTATACACATAATATCATACAATAGCTTTTTTGTCGCGCTACTTACTATATACCATATATGTATTAAAGTCATTATAATGTATGTACTATCCAGGTACATTATAATACTACAGCATGTGGGGTGTCTCGATATCAGATATGACCTTAATCATCTCGTAGAAAATCAATTTATTATTATCTAGACGCTCGTGGTTTTTTCGACAGTAATGTGGAAGAAATGACTGATGCCGTTTGATTGAAATTTCCTAGTACAGATAACTGCTGAAAAGCTCGCATTCTATTAAAAGATTGATGTGGCATAGTGTCTCAGAGATGCGAGACTTTCGACACACTGTAGGTATGTCAGCTGTACACTGACACACCATAATAACTATAATAAAATACTGTCGTGTACTCGTGTGTTAGTTAGTATTTTATAGTGTTATGAATGGCGTTAAAACGTAGATAACATAAATGAGCGGAACAACTGTAATTTATTTTGGTTATCGTTGGATCAAACATAATTCCTAAATACAGGTAAGCGTTGACGAAAATGAGACCCAACAAAATTATTACGAATACGTCAAGTGCCTACCTATCATTATTATATTTTTGTATTATGCTAATTGGGAATATGGTAAGTCGTCTGTGTGTAATTATACGCAGGAGAAATCTGGAGAATGCGCCATGACGATTAAGGAATGTCATCTTCTCATGAATTCGGATATAATATTTCTGAGACTGAGATGATAGAGGTACTCATAAATTCCAATGATAATATTACTGTGTCTGTGTACGAATTAGTATAATATGATAACTACGGACATCAAAGAATGCGTAAGTTTATTGTTATTTATTATTAACATTGTAAGTAATATTAAATTTGTTTTTTGCGTGTATAAGAAACTGATATTGTTTTAAAAAATGTATTATTATAATTATTATTAACTCGATTCAAGGGACGATTTTAAATTTTGATATATTTTTGAGATCGGATGTTGACGATGTTGTACTTGAAATATAAATAAATTCGAGATACCACAGCAGGCACTCCTAAATTATGGTACCCTTAACGAGTTCTTAATAGATTTTCGGACAAGACACGCGAAAACGTAACATAACATTTCCCGTGTATAAAAATGATAAAATACCATATCGTTAAAACCATTAAAGATCGCCACGTCTCGTTCACAGCTATATGCTAGGATAACAATAGTCGATGTGTAGCTAACTGAAATACAATTGGACAACGTCTTCGTTTATATATATACTTTATATCATATATATATAGGTATTAAGTAGTGCGAATCTGTGGTTGTTGCTCCCGGAAAAATATATATTTTTAGCGACCATAATAATATTATTATATTGTTATGACGGCAAAACGCTGAACATACCTATGAGTAGCACTTAACTTTTTATTTTACTTTTATAGTGTTGCGTCATTATATGATATTAAATAAATACCTATCCATATTATAATATAATATTGTTGTAATCTGTATACCGAGCCAAGTTCGCATCCGTATTGCAGTGTTTAAACATCCTTTTGTGGTCGCCGTTATTAATCTTAGTTCCTAGAAACTTTTCGGGCTGCTAAAATGAGTATAGATACCTACTGCAGATTTTCGCCGGTGTAATCGATCTTCTTCATCTTCCGATCAATTAGTTTCCTCCCATTAACCGATTCGGTCGGCTTCTTCTTACAACTTAATCCCGCCGCGTATTTTATACTGGTCTACATCCTAATCACTATATAATTAATGTTCGCGTTGTATTATTTTACAACGTTTTGTTGGAGCGTAATCGAGATTCCGTGCTTATATATATACCTACGTAGTTGTTATTTTACTATGATATTTAAACAAAGCGTCAGATACGCGTGTACCTATACCTACGTAGATAATTAATATACTCAATGGATACAACACTTTACGATCTGGTTTAGTTATTTAGTATTATAATGTTTTTTTTCATCCCTACAAACTCATATTTAAATGGAATGTGTTGATTTTTTTCATTATACTTAATCGTTTTAATTAACTGTCAAAACGAATAGCAAACATTTCATGTAACAATTGTCTCCAACATAAGAAACAGGTAAATAATTTCTGTATAGAACAACAACTGTTAGGCTAGGAGTTAGGACCAGGGCTTGCATTTGAAAAAAAAATTTTGTTTTACGTTATTTACAATTAAAACGTTACACAAATTTTGAGTTTATCTTTATTCAAAATTTAAACGTTATTCAACTTTTGTGTTTATTGTTATTCAGAATTAAAACGTTATACAATTTTTGCGTTTATCGTTATCCATTATTAAAAGGTTATACAATTTTTGCGTTTATCGTTATTTAAAATTTAAAAGCATTTAGATACCTATTTTTAAAGTACACACAGGCCGCAATTTAAAAGTATATGACTATGACCTTTTTTGGGGGACATAATTTCCCCATTCTGAGTTTTAAGTAGGTATTGTATAATTTTATTTATTTTATTGTATTTATTTAATTAAATGGGTAACATATCCCAAATACATATTATTTACAAAATATAGAGCACAGTGATACAGATTAAATTACAATACATAGTTCGTAAAGAAATGGAAATTGAATAAATGATAATATAGTATGATACTAATTAATCTTAAGAGTAATAAATAATAATGTATTATTGAATTTAATAAATTGCCTATAGGCTCTAAGGACTTCATAATAAAATAATAAATATAAAAAAAAAAATATGATTATTATTTTTTAATTTTAAATGTATTATTCATAGTAGTTTCATTTCATTTAAAACTTGTGGGATTAAAATGTTTAAAATTTTTTTTTTTTATTGATCTTAAGCTTCGGCAACTGAGGCCATTAGCTGTAGTAGGATTTGTATTGTAGGTTTGTTTGTATTGTATATTTTGGGACGGTAGGGGGGAACACGTGTGTGTTTGTTTTTTGGCAGAATTTCGAATGGGGCACCCGTAGGTTTCTGCCATGCCCCGGGGGTGGGGGATGGCAGCACTTGTTCTCCGGTCACCGCGACTTGTCCGGAGAAAAATGCCGCCCGGTAGCCGAGGATCGAACCGCGACCGGCTGCGTCGCAGCGGACGCGTCAGACCACTCGGTCACCTCATCCCCCTGTTTAAAATTATAAAGTTGAAATAGTATAATATTGTATTCATATTTTATTTATATTATAATATTAGGTATATAATTTGTATATTATATTAGGTAAAAGGTAGATTAATAAGGATAGGTACCTATGTATCTAAATAAAATATAAACTAAAATTAAAGGGTCAATTATTTCAAAAAGAACATAATATTAGGTAGTTAAATAAACAGTTAGTAGTTTAGTGCCTATACTTACCTAGATAAAATGTATGAAATATTTAAATGTTATAATGTACTTACTTTTGAAACTGTGGAATTGAAGCAACAATATCTTTTTAATTTTGATCCGGTTAATATCTCTTTTTCTTTTAAAATTCATCTTGGTGAAAAACTGTCACATGATTTTCTAAGTTACCAGAGTGACTTCCTGTCCGAATAGGGTTATTGCAGTTGGGAATTTGGCAGACACATTCATTTGTACTAATATTAAATTTGAAGTACATTTTTTGTACTGGGTTAGAAATTGTTCTACCCATAATGATTCTCAATATCTCAATATGTAGTTTATCCACAAAATTAAATAAATAATAAACTAATATAAATAAAACGTAAAACTATAAGTAGGTATACTAGTATAAAATATAAATATTTAAAATTTCAACATTTGACAATTATTAGACAAACGACTGAACTAATCTGAGCAAAATGAAGTCTGAACACCGAACACAATAGTTGAATAACTTGAATGGTATAAATTTCGACCGTAGTACAGATAGTACAGTACAATATTATCAGAGTATCACTATTATTAGCTATTGGTAATTAAATTATTCTATTAATACCTTCTTATTAAGTTTTAAAATAATATCTAATACGGGATCTCCCGGATAGGCCGGATACGGAATAAAATTAATTCTTGGAATGAATCAATAATTGAATTTTGAATACTACTAAGTATTATTAAATAATTGGAAATTAATTATTTCGTTTAACAGAATACAATATATATTATATACCGTTTTGCGTTATGTTTTGTTTAATGATATATCATATATTTTGTTAAACGTTACGTTTTGTTTTGTGTTATTTATTTATTTATGTATTATGTTTATCGTTTTCCGTTATAATTATGTTTACAAATTTCAATCGTTTTTTATCAAATATAACGTTATAATCATAACGTTATTATAACGTTTGCAAACCCTGGTTAGGACTGCAGAAAATGATAATATTCACAGCTTAAGTGATAAGCAGGGTTCGTAGCACATAACACTTATTATTATTAATATAAACGCTTGAAAGAGCATTCAAATAAGCACTTAAAAGCATTGAAAAAAGAATTTCAAAAATGGTTACCTTAAAAAAATTTCTAGTTTTTGTCTTATATTAAAAAATACAATGTACTCTTATGTATTAACTGTACCTGTGTTAAATACATTTTTTAAAGACAAAAAAAACTATAAGCACAATGATGTTTTTTAGGATTCCATTTAATTTTCAAACCCTTTAAAAGTATTAAAAAATTAATTAATTTCTTTAAAAAAAAATCAAAAATGTTTGGCCTTTATAAATTTGGTTTCTAAAGACATTTTTATTTTTAACTTTTGGGTTTTCTGAAAAATAAATTTTAAATTCATTAAGAGTACATCAACAGCAAATAATTGGTACTAATTTTTAGTCGTCATATCGATATGAACCCAGTGCGGGGACGCGGGGTTGCTAATTTTCAAGAACGTGAATTTCTCCTTGTACATTAACAAACAAACATCATTATAACATCAATATTAACCAAAGCGCAAAATAATGCCCACACAGAGCATATTATTATACCTATTATTACATAGTACGTAGGAACGCAAAAAGGTTGTAGCTGTAACTCGTAGAGTGAAACACGCTGAATCATAATAATATGAACCAAAGGTAGATGGGATTTTTTTTCCTACTATACACATAGTTTCTATTAAAATCGAGTTATTTGGGTAGAACTAACAATTTACACCATAATATCATTAAATTCTTATCAGAATTGAGAATGTAATATTATTTTTTTTTCGTGTGTTTTTTTTTCACCGTCAACATGTCGTGTTGTGAACGCAGTTAACGAAAATATTCTGTAACACATTAATATGGTTACACGACAAGATCAAGGGCTTGGTCATTTTTGCGCCGAAAGGATAACGAGTTGTGAACATACATGATAATTTACATAATACAAATATTTTCAGTGTAATATTGTTGATAAATAATAATATAATAATATTGATGAATATTGTCAATGATTGTTTCAAAATGTGCTAAAATATATGCAAATATATACACTTCATATTTTTATTTTTTTATTCCAGTACTCTGTGCTATTTTTGTCAATCTGAATCTATACAAAATGAAGTAAATATTGTTTCTAGTTAAAAAGTATAACAATTTTAATAGTAGTTTATTTTGAATGTTAAAATTTTGTGTTATAATTTTTTAGCAGGAAAATACAATCCCGTCCATGGCATTGACAATTAGTTGTGGTTTTTACAAAATATGCCTTGATACGTATGCATTTATGATATGATGCATGAGAACTTCGAGTGCACTACCATTGCGATTTTTGTAAGACACTCAAAAACAGACAACAGATACATTTTGGTTTAAGATGATCTATTGTTTATGTATTTGGAAATGAAACTAGATTTTGAACACACTGTTCCCTGTTAATAAGTAACGTGCTAATATAATGCAGTATTGCAATATCAGTTCAAATAACGCATCGGATTTCGAGTGCTGCACATGGCAAACCATTGCTGTTTTCCAAATTAATTTCATTCTCATCAGTGACAAACCGCAATCTCTGATACAGCCTGTCGTTTAATACAAATTAATAATAACAGTAACAATAATAATATCATACATTCTCGTCATGCACATTATTAATACCAGACGTAGGTATATTACTCAATACTCATATTAGTAAAATGTGATGATAGAGAGATATTTATTTTTTCATTTTAAAATAGGTACATTTAAAAAGACATTGTAAATTGTAATGAAAATTTACAAAAATCAATAGTTGAAGTGGAAACTTAAGCTCTTAAGAGACTTAGATGTTAACATTGATCAAAAGTTAAAAATAAAAAAAGCATATAAATTTAAATATCCTAATATAATAATTTACAATATATAAAAAGTGGAATATTATAATTAATTAATTGAAAATGTCATAATATATCAAATTAAAATAAAAACACCAGCAAACTTTCACATCATTAGGGTTTTAATTTGTTTACAAACTGTTAACAGACAATAGTTCTATATATTCTCTACAAGACAATAGGTACATTTGGTACATGTTAAATAATAAAAGTTTCACATGAATAATTTGTGAAGAAAGCTGTTTACTAGCAGCACCTAAGTATTTTAAATGTAATTTCTTTGATTATAATAGTATTTTTGTACAATGCATAAGATTTAGGAATAAATATACTGATATTTAAAGAAATACGTGCGTCACAATTCAATACCTACCTACTTATATAATAACTAATAAGATTTTTTTTATTCCAAATTTGGTCTTGCGTCTAGATAGTGCAATTTTCCCAGAAAAAGTAATTTGATTTTGTCAAGTTTCGATGCAGTGTTGAAACTTGGAATGTGATAACATTAAAAAATTGGAGAAATAAAAGTACAATAACACTTCTCTTGCACGTAATAATTCTAGTTTAAAAATATTATTAAATTCATTACTTATAATATTCGTTTCATTACTATAATAAAATGGGCCAGTACTGTTCTGAAGTACTTTTTAAATAGTATTTTCAGTTACGCGTTGATCAACGTTTTGAGTTTTAGTCGAAAAGCTTCACAAGCCCAACCACAAATTACGGTTGCATACAATAATAATGATAACAGATTTGTTGTGCCTGCAGTGCGTTCAATACAACCGGTCGATGATTATTTTATGAGCTCATATTATAATGGTACAATATTATAGGTATTTAGTGACTTGTATTTATAAAACAAAAAGGTACCTATACATTATAACATAATGTTATTACGTGTTCATAGTGCAATTTAGGTGTACACATTTTGACAAATATACATATTTTCTCTCTGTCCGGAGACGCGTGGCGTGGCGCTATCCCGAACTATAATGCATACATCGCACGACGGAGCAATTGCGCCTACCGGTGGCGGAGCATTTTGAAATTAAACTGCGCTCACGACAGTCATCGGCATCCCATTGGAGAGGGTTGTCCGTGTGACCAACGGCCTCCGCGGGACACACATGTGACAGAAAAACAACATCAATAATAATAATTATTATTATTTTCGTCATCGCAATATAATATAACCATTGCTATAATATTATTATTGCCGTAATTACATTTACACAGAGCCACGCGAGTGTCGACGCGCGAGTGAGTGCGAGTACAATTTTTTAGACGTCAAACAGTATAATATTTTTTTTTTTTTTGAATCCGGGCAGGAGACGGAAATACAATAAACGACTGTTAAGTTAATTTTTTTTTTTTAATTAATCATTCATACAACTATGATCTTCGGGTACTCGTGGATTTTCGTCTGTGCGTTGGTTGCGTTTGGCAGTAAGTATATTGAAACGATAAGTAAATTAATGTCTGATAAATTATAATAATATTACAATATTCACAATATTCGACGATGTGGTGTTATTCAAATGCTAAATTAACGAGATCGTAAGTGACAATAGTATCAGTGCACCAACATTAATTGAAATATACGTCAACGATTCTAAACGGACGTCGGTTTTAGACATTTTTTTTAATTCGTTCGGTACGTAGTATCGCAATTTGCTAACTTCCACACAAATTAATTACAAATAAATGTATGCTGTTTACAATAGACGTGTGTCAAGAGCATACCCACATAAAAAAAACAAAATAAAAATTAACTTTAAATGTGATGGGACAGACAACCGTGTATTGCCCAAACATTTTATTTTATTTAAATTAATATGTTGTATGTATTATAACATTATTTTATAGTTTAAAACTGAAATAGGTAAAGTCTTGAATTTAAAAATTTATTTTAAAATATGGTTATGTAAAACATAGTTTTATAGAACTAATAAAATCTGCTAAAATAGGTTATTATTTAAAATGTATATAACCGTACAGGTACTTACTTCTATATCAAGACGTAAATTTTATCAAATTGCTGATAATATATTTAGTAGGTGCTAACCTAAATAAATATTTTGATACGGTCACTAGCTAATAAATATCGTAGCGGAAAACTAAACCACTACAGTTATCCATAAGCATATCGCAATTAAAAAAATATTGCAATTACATAAACATTGTTATTAATTTATTATAGTCATTAGTCATTAATGAAAAAAAAAAAAAAAAAATATTTCACGTTTTGTTGCATAAAGATAATTATACTATATGTTCAGTGACATATTTTCTTTGTTAAAATATAATAAGGGACATCGCCGTGTATATGGTAGGTACATACAGAAGTATAGTATGTACACAGACTGTTCTTTTTCAATTACATCATTAAACTAAAAGCTTGATATAATATATTACTATGCATAACAACCTTAGTGCATTAAGATAAAAATCATAAAACTTGTCACCAAGTAGTATATTAACAAAAACAAGTGTGTTTTAAATTTGATATTAAATACAAATTGTTGTAATTCAAAAAGCTAATAAAAAAAAAAATATATAAAAATGTTGGTGTAATTTTTAAAAATGTACGTCGCACAGATATGTAGGTAGATGTGTGTAGTTAAATTTAAATATAGTCTTTGATTTATAAAATAAAAGACGCTATGAAACAAATAAAAATTAAAAAAAACCATTAAATCACATAACTTAAATAATATAGTATGCTTAGTTAAATATTTAATTCACAAATGGATAATTATTGGATCTTTTTTAGCAAATATAAATAATAAAGTGGATTTATCACAAAATTATGTATTCTACATTTTTTTTTTTTACCAAATATATTTTCTACATTGTACACTCGATTTATATGTACCTATATTTTTTTTTAATATTTAAAAATTAAATTATACAATTTTTATATTGAATTTAAAACTTTTCTGTTTCAATAAAAATAATAAATACGAGCTGCTTAAATATTACTTACAGCTTACAAAACAACGAAATTACTTATTTTGAATTCAAAATTATAAAAACGGTTTTATAATTGATTTGATTTTAATAATTTTATTTAAGTATAAACAACACAAAACTACAAAAGTGGTTTAGTTTTTAAAGCAAACTTTGATAATAATTTCCTTTGAGTAATAAAATGTTTTATCTATACACAAATGTGTTGGCAAAATAAATATTACCATAATAATATATTATTATACTAAACAAGCTCGTGCAGTCTATTTTTATTCGCATTATTTTAATTCAATTTTTACCATAAACTTCATATAAGCCATGTTATAAAAGTAAACTAAAATAAAATTCAATAAAACATATTTATATTATTTTGATTTTGAGTCCTTTATTTAAATTCTTTATATTCGCTATATGGTATTTTAATATTTTGTATTATGCACCCTGTTGAGTATTCTCTACATATAAATTAGTGACATTCTTGAGATAACTAAATAAGCAATTTCTGTTTTGTGTGGTTAACTACACAAAAAGGATCTCATCAGAATAATTTAAGTTTCCGTATTTTCTTTGATTTTGATTCGTTTTCTTTTTTTTATAATTATATTATAATTATTTTACACTAAAAATAATATTTTATACAACTAAGAAATGGCGTTAACTATATAAATAAAATACTTTAAAAGAGATAGATGTATATGTTTCCTTAAGATTGCATCAAATTTAACAGACTTGTGTTTATGCATACCTACAAATAAATAATAAGTTTAAGTTTGAGGATCAATTACATTACTCCTTATAATTTGTTTGAATGCACATTTTAATTATTCACAGTTAAGAGACACATTTCGATAACAATTCATTATGAGATACATTTTATAATTTTTCAATTGAAAGTATTATGAAGTATAACATATTAGCTGTCGACAAAGGAGTAAACGATAAAAAGAAAATAAAGTTTTTTGTAGGTATATATTATATAATATTATGCGAGTTTAAGGATAACAATTTTGATTAGGACTTTAAATTAAATTTTGGTTGAAGTTACGAAATTAGTTTAATTAATACAACATTAAATTACGTGACAAAAATTATAATTTGCCAACGTAAATACCTTAACATGTTTATAACTTATAAATCTAAGTTTCATATAAACTAATCGCTTGTGTACTTTTACACATTATATCTTTATCTTAATTAAAATAATTTAAAAAATGTTTTAACTTTTTTTACGGTGTATGCGCTCACCATTATTTAGAGTCTACAAACAATGTACTTAATTAATTTAAATTCTTTTTACCAACCTATCTAACCCATATTATAGGTAAGACGTATAGGTACACTTATTTAGTACCATTGGGCATATAGACATATGTGCACATATGTGACATATAGGCATTGTGTTTAGTACGAATATAAAGTCTTCTGTTGTTTTTAATTTTATTTGAATAATGGTGTGCACATTTTTAGATAATCTTTTCATTTTATGTACATATAATACACACATTAAACATCAATGACTGGGAATAGTTTTATAAGTCTTTCGAATTCAGTATTTATAATACAACGTAGGCACGAATGTTTTCAGTACGACAGTACCTACATATTTTATTTGATTGTACTTACGTACAGACATGTGTTTAGTTATACTACAATACTGTAACGTCAATTATTTTATGTTGATAGTAAATTGATCAATTTGAACTTTTTAAAGTAGCTATTAAGTAAGTAAAATGAAAACTCGTTTGTTAATGTACAAGCACAATCTTAATTTACGTTGTTTAATGATTCCCAAACCAAAATCTACGAGTAGTATTGGTCCAGAACTTTCTCAACTAACATCAGGTACAGAGGATTCCCTGTCCAATTTACCACTAACAGAAATCTAGTGATTCAGAAATGTCCTCTAAAACCATTCATGGTAAATCAAATTTGAAACTCGATGAAACTGGTCAAGAGACCATCTAAAGTTTAGATTCTAAACTAAAATCAAAACTAACAATAACGACAGACGGTTGAACTATGTAATCATGTACCATATTATTGTAATCTTGCTGTAATTTATTATGTAAAGATAGCTAAATCAAATCATCAAATAACCTATGAAACATATAAAGTATATAGGTACTGTTATATAATGATTTTTCATATGAATATATTTTCTAATACATAATAAAAGGATTAAAATATTAGTTGTTTCATTTATTAATTGAACAGTTTGTGAAGGAATATTTTTTACAAGGAGCACCAGTGATGTTACGAATTTATAAAAAAAATATTAGAAAAAATACAAAATAAAATAAAATGTACAACATTTCAGACAGAGCCTTTTGTGAAGTGGCCATCCATTGATGGAACTTCGTACCATGTACTGTACATTGTACATATTATTTAATAGAGTTTATTTCAGTAATTAAAAATAATATAATAAGTTAATTCACTTAGCAAGAAAAATACATTTTAAATAATAATGCGTGCATGTACACATTTGTACCATAATACAATAGCTCTATATGCATGCCATTTTTACTAAAAGCATTAAAAAATATGAAAAAACATATTATGATATTGTGTTGATTGAAAATGTTTCAATTGTATTATTGATTTTTAGCTATGAGAAATACATACATTTATTTTTTAGAAATTAGGTATATTATTTTAACTTTCTTCCAAAACTGTCTGCAGCTACAAAAAAAAACAAATTATGCAATTCCCTCTATTCCATCCATTATTGGTTGACTTATTTAGCATCACTAATTGAATAATAACATATAAAAATATGTATAGATTGAATTCCGTTTTGAATCAATGATATATCTTTAATTTTAATCGGAATGCTTTGAATGTAATAGTATAACGTGTGCTGGTATTAAACAGAGTATATAATTGATTACATTAACTGTATAAACTCTATTAAAATGTGTTGTTATTTGCTTGTGCATTTATGATTTATTACGTTGAGTATTACATTTTAAGTTAAGTTGAACCAAAATTTAAATTACCCAAGAGTAAATTAAACTGTCTAAACTTTATTACCAAACATGTATTAGTAAAAATTAAATCACTGTGTAGGTAGACTTTACGAACCACAAAAATAACGAATACAAAGTCAAGTTTATTTAAAACCCAGTAACTTCGATTACCCAGAAATAAAGAGCTGAATTTTTAATTCATCAAAAGAGGAGCAATTAACTTATGATGAAAAGAAACGAAGAAAAATAAATAATATAGATTGAAAGAACTAAAAAAAAAAAAACCAATTGAAAAGTGCAAGGTTTCGTAAATGAATAAGGCTATTGCCAGTAAGAACAATTCATTTATGATACATTGGTCCAATTTTTTTTTTCGTTGATGGTTAAAGATGTTTGTATTTTTTTTTCTTTTCTAAACCACGTTTTTGCTGCTAGCCATTTATATAATATATATAAGCATTATAAGCCATGTTTATTTATAAAAATAAGAAAGTACAACTATATAAGAACAGAAAAATGAAAAATCGACAAATAGAATTTTTTTTTTTCGTATAGTATTACAGCTTTTTATTCCGCTCGTATATTATATCGGTATATTATATAATGTAATAAACCATACCACGCTTTTGATTCTATTGTTGTTAAGACAGTATATGTCTTTTGTGTTGTGGCTTCCGCCAAGTTTTAAGCGATGTCTCTACGTCAAAAATTAATATTATCCTTTAGGGCTTTAACACTGCAATTACATACCCACCTAGCTCGGAGAATCATTCTTATCTCGGCGTATTGATTGTTGATTGTCTACGTTCCATTATTGTTTCTTCCATAATACCAAAGCGCAGTTCCTTTGGATACTGAAGTCCTCATTATGTATCATTGCATATTCAATATGTCATCAAAAACAATATTGACCAATAATTATGGTGTTAATAATCATAAAAAAGTCGTATACACTCACGATGGTCTTCCAAATTTCGTGTGGCAACAATTGCGGGAATTATATGAACGATTGTTGCAGGTTCCCCCCATTTTCGGGATGATTTGTATTATAACATATTGTTTTCTTTTCTGTGCAAATTTAATTTTTTAACTGTTGAACTTTAATAGTGACTACCTACTAGAAGTTCTAAAAAAAAAAAAAATATATATATATTGTGTTTTGAGTTCGGTACAATTTCGTCATTTTTGTATTTTCTTATTTCTTACAGTTTACACATAATTTTGTATCCTATATGTTCACCAAAAATAAAATATTTAAAATACATATTTATAGTTTACCTCTGGTTATAGTTGCATCTATATCGAATTTGTTCGTGAATCATGATAATATTTGTCGAACCATTTTGTCCGCATCCATTATTTATTAGTGTGTACAGGTTTATCTTAATGTTTCATATTATACTGTCCAAATGCTAAACAAATGAAATAAGCAACTCTATAGCTATACACTTCAAAAAACGTGAATACAATTTTTAAAAAAATTGTTAACATTTTAAATAAATGTTATGGACAATTTATACCGTTTTAGTTTAAGAGGATGCCATTAAGTGCTGTCTGCGTCTTACTAACGTAAGCCGTATTTAGCGAATTTGTGTTCAGCAGTTCCAATTTCGTTTGGGTAAGATCATCTAACCATACGTCATAAGCTGTATTTTATACTTTACAATATTTTAATTTTTAAGTAAGTCAGTAAGTCCCTATAATGTTATCATTTCAAAATTATCATAAATCGTTTAAAATTTGAATATCGCAAATATGTGTTACAATATTATAATATTAATGCTCACTACACAAAATCAGAACAGCTGAACACAAACTTACTACGCTTGTAGGAGACAACACATCACACGAGTGTTTTGAATTAATTGAATGATTTCCGCGTAAAAATAATGAATTAATATTGTCTACGTGAGTGTCACATAAGAGTCAACAGTCATCACTTTTTTTTACGACGATTGGTAGGGCGCTCACTTTTTTTAAATAAAAAAGTTTTCAGTACAAGTCGACGAAGCTGTTATTGTCTTTCTATAGTACCTAACTAAATCGAAAAAAAATTGGTCCGATTAAAATAATATATAATTACGTATACTATGATAAAATAATATTATGTATAAATAATCAATAACTCCGAAATAATTGTGGGAACGGTTTTTTAATTGAAAAGAAATCGTATATACGCCTTTACTTCATCACTTACGTCACACGATTCGCCGCGTAGAACTTAAAATATATTATTATTGTATTGGAACGACAATCATATATGCCTTGCACTTAAACTAATTAAATTACACTTATAAAATGAATCCCGATTTTTGAGATTTATCCAGAGCAGTATGTGAGCCTATACAGATGTTTTGAAATCAGCTCTAATATAATTATTTTTGAGAACAATTTCAATATAATCTAACAAAGGTTAAATATTTAATTTAATAATAGTTTTGAGACTTTTTTTAAAATATTTCTTTTCCATTTTATACAAATTCGTTGGATTTTATTATAGTCACTGCTTGCATTTGACAGAATTCATTTTAGTTAAGAATTCGACTCGGATTTATTAAATGCATCCCCGCCAATGGCATCATAACATTTATAGATAAATGGTTTTGGATAATAAGTATATGTTCAGGTTGGTTTACCCATCAATATCACACACGGAGCGAACCGTGCCCAATCGCATATCTGATATAATATAATCATAAATAAATAAACTTAATTTCCATTCACGTAACAGCAAACGGAAAAAAACATATTTGAGATTTTTCACAATTATTATCATTTATCACACATTACTTATTTAATCTCACTAATTTTATTATTTTAGGTTTTTTTTGAAGGATTATTAATTTTAATAAAACATCACAAACGGTAGACGTACATCCACACACTATGTACCGACATAATATTGAACAGTTCAATAGATATATGACAGATATCTCCTTTGAATTTATTTTTAGAAAATATTAAACATATTTTTGACGTGTTGAAGTTCTGCTGTTGTTAAGTTTGAATAAAAGAAATTCACATTCATAAAAATGCAAAAAACATGATAATTTTGTATTCATAAAATCATTCGATACCAATGCCATTATGATGTAAATATACATCATATACAAAGACAGTAAAATAGTCCATCAGAGATGTTCTGGAATGTTATCATAGAAGTGTAAAGAAGTCTAATAAAACCGAGATGAGATAAATACTATATGTCTATATTGATAAAAAAATATAATCATAGGTACACATCGTATTTTGTGAAATCAAACAAGTTTAGAAATTAATCCAAAATAAAAAGTAATAACGTCTATTTAATATTTTCATGATGTCACTTTGACGTTAAGTTTTAAATTGTATGAAATGAAATATTATAATATTAAAATAATGACAATTGTAACCACTGAAACTTTTTAAAATTATGTAGTAGAATAAAAATTAACCAATTTAAAAGAGCAGGAGCAACCGGGGCTAAGCGGCGACAGAATAGGGGAGTACCCGGCTCAATAGCCCATAAATTTCAATTCAGATAATAATTATACTACTACTTGATATGATTATTAGATTACCTTTTAGTTCATTTACCGATGTTATAATTTGAAATATTAAATCCACTTACCTTGTATTGATGTGGATCCTTGTTGTGGTGGTGGTAACGTCTCTGGTAGGTGTGGGTTGATGCGCGTTACTATTACTCTACGACTTTTACGATACTATGTTCTTTTCTCTAAATACAGTGCGTTTACTCTTA